AACATTCATATGGAACTTCAGCTGACACTAGACTGTCTCTAGTACCAAGAGTTGCTCGATAGATGGAACCCATGTTCCCCTGCACCAAAGGGTAGGAATCCTTTCAAGGGAAAAACCGAATGGTGTTGGGTACATGCGTCTGATTCACGGATTATTTTTTATTAAATCCAATCCCGAAAGGCACTATGGGAAAATAGCGGATGTTTAGATCGGCCTGTCTTTTTTCCCTTTCGTTCCATCCGCTCTGAGTTTCCATGGCAACCGGACGACTCGACTCGACGCGCATGCGCTGCCTTCCTGTCTGGGTCGGGTGTCAGTCCACTGCTGAGTCTTCCACTTCCCTTTTGACCGTCGTGGATGACTGATCCATAGACGGCAGGGTTGCCGGCGTGGACAGGGTTGCCGGCGTGGACAGGGTTGCCGGCGTACTATTGAAATGTAACATCTGGCATCCACACTTCCTGCTCTGTTTCCGTCTCCACGCGAACTATCGAGAACTTCTTGTTGCTTTCCGGGACTATTCGCACATGCCCATATCAGTGGAAATACCCACGCAGCAGATATCGATTTTCTGCAAATAATGTCAATTTCTCGTCAAGAAAATGATATCACGTTTAAATAAAATTTGCATTCCTCTATTTACGTCATCTAAGGGAATGTGTGTTTCATATAAACTAGACACGACTTCATCTGATAAAAAGGACATGGCATGAAGTTTATGCAAAATCAACACCACAACATTCATATGGAACTTCAGCTGACACTAGACTGTCTCTAGTACCAAGAGTTCTCGATAGATGGAACCCATGTTCCCTGCACCAAAAAATGCAACTAAGTACCTGCTTTCCTGAAACAGTACCAGATCTTTCTCCCCTATTTCCTCTTCTCGTAGTGCAATTTATAAACATTTCTTGGGAAAACATGAAGTGTGACATTATTATCATAATATATAACTCAGGGAATGATTAAATGTTTAAGTTAAGTATGGGACTTTTAAACCATTATCTTCTATGCAGAGAAATGCCTCTGCTGCGGTTGGTGCTGTCAGGGTTCCGAGCTGGGTGCCGAAGGGTGATGTAGTAGGTACTCTTGGGTACTTTTGAGGGTACTTTTGGGTACTCTTCCGAGAATCCCAGATTTTCTTTTCAAGATGCTGGGTTACTTTCCGTAAAATTTAGCGTGAATATGACAAAAAAATTTAAATACATTTTGCATTAATTTTTCATGGCGTAAGCATGCTGCTTGGGATGCAAACGGGAAAGTAAAAAAATAATGTAAATTCCCGTCAATTTTACATCACTGTTTGCATATCACAAAGGTGACATTTTTGCAAGCCTGCAGACAATGTACCTAGGTGTTGAAGGTCAGCGTAAAATGGATATAAAATGGGCAAAAAATGTACGTCAAATTAATATAATACTGACGGAAACATGCTGCTAGGGTATCAGCTTTTATTATCAAAATCATAAGCGTCAAAGAAGATAATCCCAGGGATATAGGAGATAGTGGAATGGTGGATCTACAGTATGCATCAGATCAGATCTATGCAATCTTGCTCTTCGTGCTTTTATTCAAAGGATCATTCCCATATTATAATAATTACTGATATTTACACTTGTTGCATTATTATTGATCGTATTTTACGTGGTGGTTAAGCATTTTTTATTGGGTATTTCATTTATTTTATTTGGTTATTTCATTGGCAATTAGGGCTCCAGGATTCCAGATGCCACCGGACTCATCCAAACCTATGATCATGGTGGGACCGGGAAGCGGAATCGCCCCATTTCGGAGTTTCTGGCAGCACAGGCACGCCCAACTCGAAAGTCTCCCTCGTTCGGGTCCGGAATTTCATCGCCTTTTTTCATCCCGGCGACCACTAGCTGCAAATTTTTATTATTTTTTTTTTTTTACCAGCAGGTGAGGAAAAGCCGTTCGGCAGGATGGTACTGTATTCCGGCTGCAGATATCGCCGGTGGGAGCTGCACCGCGAGGAGATCCGCGGAATGCTCGCCGCGGGCGTTCTCGATCGCGTCCACGTCGCGATCTCCAGGGAGCCTGGCATCGAGAAGGTCACACTTTCCTCGAATTTCACGATGCGATCAGTCGAGACCAATTTAATTCGGCGGGAAGCCTTTTGAAGACGCATTGCATGATTACGCAATTTAAATAAGTTGGGAAAGGTCCAGCGGTAGGCTTTCATTTCAGTTAAGGAAAGCATTCATTTTGTCACCTAATTGATCAAAATATCTCGTTGCTGTATTCGACCATCAAAAACCTCACCTCTCATTTATATTCGGTGAACTAACGGTGCCCATAAAACGACGACGGGAGGACGGAGGCCTGTGCCTGGTCCATCCGCCACGAAGGTTGGTAGGGAACTGACGGCTCTGGTTGCTGACACGGCGCCGCGCCCAAAGCCTTTGTCGTATGCGCATGCGCATTGCGATCCAGAAGGGCGAACGAGTACGAGTGCCTTCCCCTCCGTGACCAAATGTCAAATCTTAAATTTACAGGAAAATGCCGATTTTGGTGCAAAATTCGTTGCAAAATGTACTCAGCCTGGATCTTCTTAACCTCAACCAGCACGCCAACTTTCGCATTCATCAGACTAATATATTCTTAGTTTATCGTCGGACGACCAAAGTGTGACACGGACACACAGACACACGGACGGACAGACACACGGACGGACAGGACGGAACATGAGTGATCTCTTTCCTTTCAGGAAAAGAGGCCCACTAAAAAAACGGGCTGAGAAGAAAAAGTGTAATTGGAAAAGTGAAAATCCCGGGAAATCGTGACCCCAGTTCGAAGCAGAGCTAACCCTGGGTGGACATCGCTCCGACAGGAAGTACCGCTAAGGGGGGCATCCACCTGGTTCCAAATCCACATTGGAGGAGGACGTTTTATGAGGGTGGTCCTCTTTCTCTGACTGAATTCGCATTATAGAAAGAAGGGGGGTGAGATGAGGTCATGGGGAAGGTGTGAGACGGGAACCATACGCTCTTGGGGTGAGGGATCTGTCCGGTCCGACGCCGAATATTTTCTTTGCCTTTCGGATCTTTTTTTTAAAATGTATATGTAATGTCATATAGCCTGTCTGTAGTACAGGGAAATACAACATTTATATTAAAATTTATTTTAATTTATATTAATTAACATTTATATTAATTTATATTTTTTAATGGAAAAACTGATCATGGTCCCGACCTCTTCTTGCGCCGATCGACTGAGACGTTCGAATCTGAACACGCCCCTCAGACTTACGTGCAAGACCTGCTGAAGCGGAACTCTGAAGAAGTGTACTCCGACGTGATCCATCGCCAGGGCCACGTGTACGTGTGCGGGGACTGCGCGATGGCCGACGACGTGTACGGCACGGTGCGAGAGATCGTCCAGACCCAAGCGGGCATCTCGTCGCAGGAGGCGGAGGCCATTCTCGGTTCTCTTAGGGTGAGTACTGAGTACCTCGAGACTAAGTACCTCATGGCCCAGTACCTCAGGTACAGGGTCTGCAAACTCCGCGGTATCTCGCGTGCCTCGTCTAGGAAGGCAAGTGTCGAGATGCGAGAGCCAATCCAATTGAAGTTTCTCAATTCCAGGAAATTTTGTTAAATATAATATTTTCCTCAATTCTCAAAGTCCGATTGAACTGTTCTACTTTGGCACTTCAACTTCCTTGCCCATTCTCAGCTTCCCCAGCAACGTATTTTCACATTCAAGACCGAAATTAATATTACGAATTGAATTAAACGAAAGTCTTTAGCCGAGGGCATGAAATGACAAGAAAATTCTTTTTGCCACTGAATGTTACTCGTATCGAGTCCACTGATTTCCTTTTTCATCAGGGTGTGAGCGATTTTCATTTCGCCGACCGCTGAGGAGCGCAAATATTTGCTCTGGATGAAAGGGTCAAATAATTGTTCGATAAAGGACTAATTCATTAAAGGATTTAAAGGATTTAATGGAAGTGGATCCCGTCTCGCAGGAGGAGAACCGATACCACGAGGACATCTTCGGCACCGCATTGCGAAGGGCCGACGAACGAGCGACCCAGGGGCGAAGGCGCCTCAGCGTCGCCAATGCCGGCAAAAGGCGGAGCCTCGAGGAGCCACCTCGAGGAGCTCCCTCGAGGAGCCTCGCCGAGGAGCCCTTCTCGACCTCGCCGATTTCAAACGTTTCCGCCGAAAATGAGAAACCGCAGGGCTTTGATGAAACCAATTTGTCGGATTTCGTCTAGAAAAAGGTGAACCTCGGGTTTATTGAACCAACTTCAAATTGTATCCAGCCTCTTCCCAACAGTGTGGAGCAGCAGAATATTAGCGAAATATTAACAACATTATCGCCGAATGAAAATTCGCAAATCCCTGCATGTTTTCCTGGTACGTCCTCCTCGTGTCAAATAATTCGTGTTTCCAATTCTGCGTGTCGAAACAATTTTTGTTCGTCTCATTTTTTTTCCGTTGCTGTCGTTAAGGAAATTATGAAAAAGTTTGTCTCTTTTTCACTTTTTTTTCTATGAAATTCATCATTTGCTTCAAGTGGAGATTATATCATACTAATCCTGCAAACTAATATATGATGGGCCGGATTCGACCAGGACCAATATTCTGTGACATCGAACGTGGTCGATGATTGGAATCATATGAATGAGTGCAAAAAATAAATGAATTATAATCACACGATGCATCCATCCATCGCTGGATGGGATTTTGTATGGTAGACGTTTTCCTCCGTCCCAAGTTGTGCATCGAGGGGGCTTCGTTCCACCGTCTCAGCAAGCAGATATTTCGTTAATTAATTAATAATCACGACAGTCTCTACTTTTCCTATCCCGAGGAAAATGATTTTTAAAGTTGGCAGAAAGGAAACTTTCTATGCTGATTGCATGAAAGTCGTTAACATTCGCCCCCATATTTCATTTCCAGGCCCGAGACGCTGGCCGTGTGCAAACACGGTTCAACGCGAAACAGAGGGAGGAAATAAGGCAGGCCCGTTGAAGAGATTGGAGCATGAATAAATTATCGCGAGAGGAATATCAAGTAAATGGCATGTGCTCATAGTGTTTCGGAGCTACGAGAGACATTTCCTCGCTCCAGTAAATGGGGAACTCAGGTTCATCTGACAAAGTCTTGAAATCAACAAAATAATGGAAAGAACGAGTTCAATTGATAAATTCGTATTATCTGTAAAACTCAAACATTGCCTCATTGCGACCTATTTGGTACCAATTGCCACCAATCGGTCACATACTGCGACTAATTGCCTTCGACCGAAGTTTCTTGGCGATGTTCTGTTGTTTCCAACGCATGTGAAGCAGTAAGGGATCTCTTTAAACTTTACTATTGCAAGTTGCAATTCCTAAAAAAGATTCGCTCTATCTCTGTGCTTAGAGGAAAATCATTCGGACTAGGAGAAAAAGCCAAAGACCATATTCAATTCGCATTGATTTGACGTTTTGCACAAGAGAATCAGGTTCTGGAAGGACTATGAGCTGATCCTTTTGCCTTCCCTTACGAAACAGTTCAATAGGAATACTATAGTAATGTATGGGAATCCTACAGGTTTTTAGGATATGACAAAATAGTATATTCCTATGGGAATCCAATGGAATACCAAAGGATGCCTTGGAAATCCTATATATTACTATAGGTATCCTATAACGATTCTAAGGGAAACATATAGGTATCCGTTAGTGCTTTATTGTCAGAAAGTGCAAGTTCATGAACATCTAATTAGTAATAGGAGAAGAAAATTAAGGACCAATTACATCATGATCGATTTCATTCTTCTACGCCATGGAATCATGAAGTACCTCGTGATACAGATCGAGAAATTGCTTGCAGTCTCAGCACATTCGTGCAGCGTGCGCGGTCCTTCGATCGCCCACGCCTTCATGGCGACGCGAGAGGTGTTCAAGAGGCCCAGTACGAAACCTCAGTCGCTTCGAACGAGAGCAATCGCCATGGGGGCCCGCCGCTCCCATTCGAAGAAGCGAGTGTCCGTTTTGAAGATGTTAATGCTCTTCCTGAACGGCGTGGCATCGACGGAGTTCATCCGCCATGATGCCGTGCATCCCGGGCTGAGGTACGGCGACGTCTGGAAAGAAACCAATGAGCCAAACCTCGGAATCTGCGGAATAAGATGCTCGATCGTGGCATCCTCTTGCTACGCCTTCAATTATCGGGAATCGGACCAATCGTGTCAGCTGGTCCTCAAGGGGAAGATCAAGCTCGTGAAAGCCGAAGGATACACGGCCTACGGTAACTGGCAAAGAAATTTCGCATTTCGATTCAAAAAATTAACGGTTGTGATCCAAAGCGAACAATCTCATGTGCGTGAGCGAGCACCCGACGATCCGTTACGCCAACGTGTCCTTCGAGGATTGGAGCGGAGAATACCCAGC